AGAATATACTTAAAGCCATAACCAACAATAAAGGAATATACTACAGACCACAATGTTCAACATATAAACATTATACATTTCACAACAAATAATGCGCAAATATACAAATTACACAAACCACGATACTGAAATATACGAAAATACATTATACCAATTGTACATTTAGTGCACCTCAACATAAAACTCATTCATATACCACAATACACAATGAAAAATAAATTATACATCAAGCGAAGTAACAGTAGATTAATAATCTGCAAGATACAATATATAATGAAAGTTATAATCTATACATACTACATGACTATACATGAGCTGTAAGATACATTCCATAATATATATATATATATAATAAAAGTTATATTCTATATATACTACATGACTATACTGCAAGATACAATATATAATGAAAGTTATAATCTATACATACTACATTAATATACATGAGCTGTAAGATACATTACATAATATATATATATATATATAAAATAAAAGTTATATTCTATATATACTACATGACTATACTGCAAGATACAGCACTGACTGTATGAATATTACTCAAGAAATAACTTGCAATACATATGCTTCAAGGTAAAATATGCAATATAAGTCTAAATTACGTAAATATTGTACAAAATACAATATATATAGTACGTAAATATTGAAAAGGTACAAAATATCGTTAATGAATGTCAGATAATTGACTACAAATAATACCTGAACATACAACTTGCAATACATAAATGCCCCACTTGACACAACATGGTACACGCGAATACATAATAAGACACATAAGACCATATGTGAGTACACTGTATGACACGTTTATATTATATGAATATAGTAAAAGGCATAATTTACAATGCAACAGAATATTACAAGACACAATGTATACATTATATATTTAAAACATTCAGCATGCAATACCTAATATATAACATAGCATATAATACACAAATATATACTACAGGTCAAAAATACTTTAATAAACTATGAGACACAACCTTTAGTACAGGAATATATACAAGACACAACCTACCATATGTGAATACACTACATGACAATCTACAATATATCACTGTACTAAAAGATGCAAATCTATAATACATGAGTGTACTATACATCTCACACTTTAATCGGGTTCGAATCCCCGTCCCACCAAACATGCTCACCCTTTCAGTCGTGGGGGCGTTATAATGTGACGGTCAATCTCACTATTCGTTGGTAAAATTGTAGCCCAAGAGTTGGCGGTGATGACTAGCT